TTAGATCACATGCGTAATATATAGAAGGATCATCTTGAGTGATGGACTATGACTGATTACTATCACATGATCAAATTAGAAAAGGTGACATAAAAATTCTATCATTTATAAATAGTTTTTATTTACTCAATGTCTACAATTGGACACGTGGCAACTGGCAAAGGAAGCTCCGCGCTAATTATTAATGATTTTTATTATACAAAGAAGAATATTCTCTTTTTTTTTACCATCACCGAGCTTGATTTAGCAATGCATGCAAATTATGTATCGTGGATCTATTTTTGTAACCGTAATTATTTTGATGGTGCTTTCTGAGACAAATGTGTTCCATCACAAAACCGTACTCGAGTAGGTACCTCAAGCAAAATCCAATTAAATTCATAAGACCGTACTGACAATCATCACCGAGTAATAATAATTTCGTAATTAGTTAACTTTTTTACGACCCGACCAGATATTTTACAAGACAACAAGACACTTTAGACCTTAACATCAAAGCCGAGACAATCGCTACAATGTCAGACGCCTTTGATCAAATGATATTGAGACGAACGGACCGACATAGCTACAAAATAATGATACATAAAACATAAATGTTCTTTTCATGTGCATTCCGACAGGCGGGGGTCGTAAAAGAAACACTTACACTGTTGGAAAACACATTGAAACAATAACTTACATGGTGACATTTATGAATTAAACCAGTAAGGTGAAGTCTGCAAGCTGGAACTAAATCGCGAACGGAACTCGGGTTCTTTTATTTTCTTTAACTCATTCACTTATTGACACGGTTGTAGTGGTAGAAACAAAAGTAAATAGTTGCAGCCTGGTCGGGAATACTGGACATTTGCACTGTTCGTTTCAATCGCTTCCCCCTGATGCATGACGTTAAATAAATGATCGGCTCCAATTTTCATTACTTCTTTGTGTTTTATGTGTCCTCAGCCAATTTCTCATACAGTGCCGTTTTTACAATTGTGTATAGACTAAGCCATGGATTATTTGCATATATGCATAACAGAGTAAATGATTCTAGAATGTTCTCTGCATTGTCACAATTTACCACAAATCGTACAATGAATTAATTAGGTTGATGAAATGGAAAACCATAATGTAAACAAAACTGAAAACCCAGTATAATTCAACAGAGAAGAATCAACAATTTTTGCTACTGTGTTTCTTAGTTTTATTTTGAAATTTATTTTTTTTGTGTTGATCAGAACAAGTTATAAAGGCAGGGTCATTACATCATATTTCGTGCTGGAACAAGGCCAAATCAAAATAATCAAATATGGTGTACTGATTCCGAGGAAAAGATTAATTATACTAGCGATCGGTATCATGTTAATTATTTTTCGTAAAAAATTAATCTATTGACATAATTAATTACATTATTTATCTTACTTTTTGTTACAAGAATCAAGAACAGTGCGAATAATTTTAGGCTGTAAGGTTATGACACCTTTTTTTAAATTTAGGATATCGCTATAGTTGTATTTGATTTAATAATATAAATTAATTTCTGTGTTGAACTTACTACTGAGTTTTTAGCGCATTTTTGCAAATTTATTATAATTTCATCTCACTTTTGGCTGATTACTGGCTAGCAGCAAATGAGGGTTGGTGGAAGAACGCTTGTGGAAAGACGAGGAATGTACGTGTACCTACCGGGGCCGTGTAATTAACAATTTTAGGAACGGGGATCCACGATGTAGGGTTGGCGATATCTGGGCGCCATCCCCGAGCGTTGTTTACTAACGTGGTAATTTTTCATTTCTTCGTCTTCTTCTTGTATAGTTTTGGTCCGATTGTTTTCAAACTGGTGTTTTGACTTTGAGCGGCCAAAAGTTACGTTCCGCTGTAAATTTTGTCACGCGGTTTAAAGTTTCTTAAAGCTCGAAATGCGGTCTCTCTGCGGTGTCGTCAACCGAATGTTTTCTTATCGGCGATCACGCGCGCTTATCTAATTAAATTTCACCTTACGTAACGCGATAACAAATATTCTTATCACAAAGACAAGATGTTCCTACCTTTTCACACGTCATTCGACTTCTACAATAAATAAACAAAACTTAACCATTCAGCAATTCCCATACAAAGGAAGTGAACCCCAAACTCACTAAAAAGGAACGAAATCCGTGTTTAATTCCCATTAACCAAATTTACTCGAAACAAATTATATTCCACATAGAGAGTGACCCATTACTATTATAAGTGTCGAGATCAAACAAAATGCCTGCGTGACGTTGTTGACATAACAATATATAAAGAATTCTGACAGATCCGAATTGTCGGAGGACGTGGGATTTCATGGATGACCATTCTTTTCGTTAACACCTTTGATTATACCATGAAAGCTAGAAGGCATTCTCTCCCTCCACCACCCTACCCCTTTTGAACATCTGCCCCATTTTATTTGGACATCGTTGAATTAGTGACTACACATGATAAACACTAGAGACTGAGGCGCTGTATCTCGAGTAGTTCACAAAAAAGCTTCTTACGATCACCGTTCGGTGTGCACCAACCTCGGTGCGCCATTCATGCCATTGGCAATATCAGCCCATGACATCACAATCGGGTACTTTCATGGATCACTTGACTCGGTGGCTTCGACTCAAAGGACACGAGTAAAAAAATTTTGATATGAAAACTACATCACGGCACAATTAATTTATTGACAATGACAAACATTTATACCCTAACACATTAAACAATAAAATTAAAACAAAATTCACCTATGAAAGAAAAGCGTACAAAGCTTGCTTGAACATAATACCTCGCACGCAGGCGATAAAAAAGTCTTAGAATTACTTACAAATTTTTTTTTAAATTGCCTAATTTTGGAGTAACTGTATGCGTAAACTCCAATAAATATTTTTATTGAGGTTGCTTAACTGCTTCTACACACTTTATTTCGAAACCGACGAACTGATTCAATTAAAGAAATAGGGGCAAAATGCTCGAGTGGTTGGCGTTAACAATAATACACGCTTTTTTTGCCGTTGCGAAAACTAACAGCTAGCAGCAGCCGCGCTTTCTCGTTACCTCCAGTATTTAAAGGAACACCACCTCTACCATTAAATAAACTCCTTCCTTTACAAAATTTCAAATAGCTCTCCATTCACAACGGACTTGATAACGCTAGCTTTGAAGAAACGCGTCCCGCATCCCACTTACGCCGAAAAGAACGTGCAATTCTTCGAAATACCTTTTAACAGACGTAAGAACACGTACGTTAATGGATTTTCGTCCGAAAAACTCCTTATCGCAAACGACCAGATGTCCCTACATTTTAACACGCAATTTCACGTTTTACAATTAAATACAAAAATCTTTTTTAAACAATTTACAAAAGTAGATGTTCTCTGCTGATTATAATATGATGAAAGACGTCGAGACGAAAATCTGAGAAAATGGTAAATTGGGATTCTCAACCGAATACCGAGCAGTGCGATCCTAAAAGCTTATCCGGTTATGGCACGATGTCGTAATTTGAAATGTTACCAGAAAAAAATATTAGATTTGGAAAATTTGAACGGGAAAAACGCGTACTGAAAACATTTCAGTGTCGTTTTCTCTTTCTGTTTTCTACTATGAACGGCGGTAAAAACTGACTGGTTTTCAAATTCGTAACTTATCATTGGAATCTCCGTAATCCAGAAGGATACAGTGTAGGTTAAGTGAGGGCAAAGTTGTCCCTTTTTCTGATAAAAAAACGCATTTGAAATTTTTGAAAAATCCTTGAAAATAACTGAGATATCACCGAAAAACTGAAAATGACAAATTTCGTCTTCACTTTTCCTAGCTTAAACGGTGGGAAATGGGCAGTTTACATGCTACTTTCTTATTTCTTATGGACATCATACCTCTTGGATTTTTACGGAATGACAACAAAAATCCATTTAAATGGATCGCAGTCATAGCCATGTTGATTCAGCAAGATCTAGTTACCCGGTGGTTAATTTGTTGAGAAATTAATGTAAAACTTTTGATTTTGAAAGTTTCCTTGTAAATTTATGTAAAAGTATATAGTGTGACAAAGTCATTATTTTTCTTTTTTTATTCCGTAAAAATCCAATATGGCGCCCATAAGAAATAAGAAAGTATAGTAGCTTCTACATCTAGTGTGCTATGGAAATTCTGATTACAGATTCTTCGAAAAAAAAAGCGCTAACGGGAACCGTCCATTTCCGGCCGTTTAAGCTAGCTAAGATGAAAACAAAATTTAACATTTTCAGTTTTTCGGTGATATATGTTATTTCCAAAGATTTTTCAAAAATTTCAAAAGCGTTTTTTTAGTCATATAAGCTCACCGTTACGTAGCCACAAATTTGAACCACCCTGTACATGTTTGTAGATAATAAATACTTTTTACAACTGTAGGAGAAGTATCACTGATTGTAAAACTTATAAAACCCTATTCAGATTATAATGAGTTACGGGGGTTGTTGATAAACGAACGCATCTCCCACATCGTTCACACTCAACGATGCTCTAACTTTTCTGGAACGCAATAAGCATCCCAATTATTTTTTCTTAATATTCTGGCGTTAAATGGATGGATTAATGTGGGAAACGTGAATGAAAGTAATTCTTAACTGTCCTTCCATAAAAGTTGGAACAGGATACTTCGAACATTAGGAAGTTATTTACAAATACGATAATTCGCTTGGTTACATAAACATTTTGGTTTTTAAAATGTGTCAAAAACATTTAACATTTTTTACTGTTTAGCAAGCGGGCGATGAAATATGTATTAAATCAACGTCGTCGAGCTGTTAAAAGGATAAATTATTTTCGTTGGCTAAATCCAGGCTTATGCCCCTACAATATTTTTCTAATTCTGTTGTATTCTCAATACTAATCGTGTAACGTGAAACGTCATAACAACAAGATGGTTTGTTGGATTTAGGCCAAATTATTCATAACTGAATCATTTGCTGACAAACTGTCTCGATCTATTATTTACCTATTCTAATGCGATTTCCTTTTTGCAGGCACGCCGATTAATAGATTACCAATTATGGCGAAAGCGGTATTGGACCTTTACGAATTGTACAATTTAGTGATAGCGAGAGGAGGACTAGTCGATGTAATTAACAAAAAACTATGGCAGGAAATCATTAAGGGACTTCGCTTACCTTCTTCGATTACTTCCGCCGCATTTACGTTAAGGACGCAGTAAGTGTTTTTTTACAATAAATATTCAATGCATGCATTTTATGTTCGATTTGGCCATTCTTTGTCTGAATGATCTAGTACCTACTTACCAATTTTATAAACAATGCGTGACTTAATATGTAACGTTTGAGGTTGAATATTTTATTGAGGCAATAAAATCGGAAACAGTAATGTTTCACATTAATATGGTTTTATGGTTGGTTTTTGAACATTAGTACTTGTTTTTTTTTTGCTTGCAATTATTTTTATATACCTATACTACGTCTTTTTTATGGCTTTCTGAAACGATCAGAATTGATTTGTTTGGTCGACAAAAAAAGGTTGTGCTAGTCCGCTGCTTGTGCTTTTCTAACCCTATTATTATTACATTATGTAACATCTTTCAATAATCAAAAGGGACTGTTTTATGCTGTAGCTACCATTGCATCCTATATCTTCCAAAAGCTAGCGTTACCTATAACACCTTCATTCGCTTTAAATAAAATGGAAATGCAAAATTAAATTGTATTTTAATGTTGTACTACTAACCTAGCAATAAATTTCGCTGTTTCGTTACCATCATTACCAATTCTCGCCAATGGATATAAAATTGGAAAAGTGCCGAAAACCTTTTTTGCGTCGGTTGAAGGAGGACTTAACTACTACAGTTTTCAAGATTTTTAGTTAATACTACTTAATAAACATTTAAAAAGGCTCTGCAAATCCATTTAAATCGAGTTTTCTCTGGAACTACTGATCGGATTTGAAAATATAAACAGTTCTAACAACATAATGAACATTCCTTTTGACCTATCTAACATTTACTACCCCTTCCCATTTAAAATTTTTGGGGTGCAATTCACCCCCTTCTCAGAGTTAAAGTTACGTAAGTAGTATTACTTAATTTAGGTGTCTCCCTCAAAACTAAAATTGACGTGTTCGAGCGTTTCTGGCAAAACTGTCGTTAAGTCGGCAAAATTAGCATTGACTGTTTTCAGTGGGCCACCGTGTATAATATACGATTACTAATAAAAGATACAAAAATACCTTCTGCATTATGTTACTGGGCACTGTTCTTTGAGAACAATGTTTTTATAAACAATTTACATAGATAAATACAGCGACGCAGACGAATAGTGAGTTGCAACCGTTTAAATTAACAGGACGTCAAAAACTAACAAAAAAGCATGAGAAGGTGTTTAATAAGTGCTAAAAACAGAGTACATATGGATTGTTTCCTTACAACTATATATATAAATCTTAATTTTGTGAAATATGGACCAATTGACATAGTTTTTTCTCCATTTTTTTCTAATTTAACACCATTCATAGTTATGGTTAAAAGAAAGAGAAAAAATAACCTTTCTAATGACCTATTATATGACCTACGCTGCTACTTTTCTGATCTTAACCAATATAAAAAACAAAAATTAAAAAAAGGATACTCAAAATCAGAGCTGTTTTCGGGGACTTCCAGAGAAAAACCTTCATGGACGCGACTACTCTACTGTTTTCGAAAAAAACGGTTTCCGAAAGATGACAGCCAATTTCATGAAAGCACCAGATACCTACATTTTGAAAAAAATCCCTAAACTATTACATCCCTATCACTTTCGCAAAATCTGTGTGTTTATCTTCTTTAGCAATTTACCATATTTAGTTTCGAATTTGCCATACCCGCTTTCGAAAAGGGACTTGTAAGAACTTTCTTCGGAAATCATGTTTTCCACTTGTCTGTCGGTTCACCCGACCGCACCACCCGTTCGCTTGTCTAATAAGTATCTCTTGGCTGAGTGCCCAAGACAATACACGATAATAAAAAGAGAGATTACATTTTCGCAATTTCGATATGTTGCTTGAATGAAAAAAAAATTAACAAAATTGGCTTTGGGAAAAAACATTAAAAAATTCGGAAATTTGCGAAATTCAAATAAGTGATGAAACTTCACAAAAATGCAAAGAATTCAGTGAAAAAAACCCAAACAGCAGGTCTTTCAAATGAACAAAAGTTACATAAAATTAACAATTTTGTAATAACACGTATGAAGCTCTGAAAAGTTTTTAAAAGGTTTTCCAGAGTCGAGACTCCTTACGCCCTTTCCAAAGTTTTCGGGTTGCCTTTTAGGTCCTTTCGGAATCTTTATTAAAGCTAGACGGGCCTTCATTACTTTGTAAAGGGTCTAAAGTGTTCTCAATGTAATCTGGAATGGTCTAGAAATACTTCTTAGTTGTTTCCACCTTGTTATACAGGGTGTCCCAGATTGTGCGGGATTGCATGGGTTATTTTGAATCAGTGAAGAGAAATTTTTGCAATTTCGTGTGCTGATGACTAAAATTTAAAGAAGTTTAGAAAAAAGTTGAATATAAAATCGTCTCACTGTTATAGGACAACGTCCAAAATGAGGCCAAAACGAAATCCAAAATGAAAAGATGCATATCAACCTTGTTTTGTGAAATTTTACTTGATTAAATAAAATGTTTTATTCTCTTTTTAACAATGTAAGATATCATATTGTGATATACTCGTACATGGTAAAAAAACCAATGAAACTAATTCTTTTTGTATTTTAGGCTGCTAATTAATTATTGTTTGGTGGATTACAGGCTCTTTTGTTGTACTGACTTTTTAAATGCATTTTTTTGTTCTTTCGTGACTTGGATTATTGGGAATCGGATTTTTCCAAAACGGCAGGGGTATACGAGAATAAAGTAAACAAGTTTTGGTACATTGCTTTCAGAAGAAGGTAGATTAGATTCAGAGTTTATGGATTTATTCAACATTTATTTGTTGCTCTGAGGAAGTTAATTTGGATTTTTCCAAAACGGTAGGGGTATCCTGTAAACGAATATTGATTTTGATAAAATGGGGTAACCATTTTCGAGCCCCTAATTTTTGGCGTCAAATTTCAGACAGGCCATCCAGGGAGCCTACGCCATTACCACCGATTTACGGTGGTAATGGCTACGCCCATAATTTTCTCCTTTTGAAATTTATTTTATGTTTAAAACAATCTTTGGAGTTTTGTGGAGCTTGTAGCAATGTGACATGTAATGACGAAAAAATTCATATGCCCAGATTGACCATCATATCGGAGAATCAAAAATTGTTCCAATTCCAGGACGAAATCATATTTGTAAAGTATTTGGCATCCTTAGGCATTGATTTTGCACAAATTAATGTTAACGTGATTTCCATTTGAATATAAGCTACTCACTATATACCTACGCCTTATTATTATTTCGTACCGAATGTTCAAGTAATTGTATTTTTTATTGAGGTCAACTGTTAAGAATTGACGAATGTAAGAAAATTTGGATTAGGCGTGGAATTCGTGGAATATTACAATACCCTTTATGTAGGTTAGGTTGTAAAAATCACAAAAAAAATCGTTTAAATCTAAACGTCTCGTTTTGATTTACAACTCTGCTGAGCGTCACTAAAAATTTAAATCGAAAGTGCTATAAAATGATATTCAAGAACGGCGGTCTATAATAAAATTTAGTCTGGTTAGTCACGGTAAACCAATTAAATTTAAAGAAACTCGTAGGAGCATTAATAACCAGCCACTCTTTGTTTTATGAATTTATTTTTCTCGTCGGTCTGAAATGTCCCTACTTTGCCACGATGTCGCCGTCGCCCTTGCTGGATTAGCTATAGGTATAGGTAATAATTCAGATTAACAAAGCTCGATTAAAGGATGAAGGAAGTGACTTCCTATAAAAAACAAAACGAATTAAATATCTTGACGTTTTGCCAGCGCCTTCATGGCGTGACGTGTTAAAAGAAAGTCTTACTAATGAGCATATTAATCGTAATTTGGTGTTTATTTTATCTTACCGAGAAGAACCCAAAATTTATTATTCTAAATTAAAACAAACTCTGTACTGCAGAATTTTCCTTTGTTTAAGTTATATAATGTTCTTTTCTTCTAGGTATATGAAGTACCTGTACCCATATGAATGTGAAAAACGTCGCCTTTCAACCCCAGCCGAACTTCAAGCAGCAATTGATGGCAATCGTCGCGAAGGTCGGCGTAGTAGTTACGGTCAATACGACAGTATACAAAGATCTCCCATTCCTTCATCCCAAATGTCTCCTTTGTCTCTGGTCTCGCAACATCAGCAGTTAACAGCTCGCATGAATTCGGTCATGAGTGGCGGTATCAGTTTGCACAATGGTGCGCATCACCCAAGTCACCCGCAACCTTTAGGCCTTCCACTAAACGGCGGACCAATTCCCGGCTTGGCACCCAGTGAAGTCGAGGCCCGCATGATGGAGTACGTCAAATTGCTCAGCAAGGAAGTTAGAAGCGCAGCGTCAACACCTCCCCGACAAGGCGAAGCGTCACCACCAAGTGCGACATCACCGCTGAACCCCTTCGAAATGTCACGCATGGCCTTATGGAACTTATACAACAATAACCAAGTACAACCCGAACCACAGAAAGAAGCCCTGAACTTGTCAGATCCCGCCCCACACCTTCCGTTACCACCCCCGCAGTCCCCAATAGTCAAAAGAGAAATCGAAAGAGAGTCACCACCACCAAAAAAATTTCTAAAGGACGACGACGAATCAAGACACACACCCGCAACGACGCATATAAAAATAAATAGTAGAGGTAAGTAGGACATTTATCACAGTCCCATTAAAATCTTATGGACTAATCGCGCAATTCGTTTCGAAAAATATGAAAATTTATTTAGACGCTTAGTGTACTAATGATGATTTCAACCAAAAATATAAATCTAAGAAAAATTAAGATCTAGATTTGATGATCCTAATGTGTTTCGTTAGAAGTGCCAGTGTCTTAATGGAGCGTGAGGGCGCTCCGAATTTATATAAATAAAAATAGAACTAAGAATTGAAAGGCAAGACTATTTCCAAACCCATCTTTGCGTTTCCCTGCGCGGAATAATTAATTTAAATTTCCCAATTTAAAAAGGAGACCACGTCACATTGGCATTCGTTCCTTGCTACCTAATAAACAGTTATAATGATCAGAGTGATTAATGGACCCTTCTCTCTGTTGCAGGGGATTCGCGCAGTGGAGACAATTCCTTAGTCGTTAGTATGGAACTCAACGGTATTACGTACCAAGGGGTTTTATTTGCACAATCGCCAACTAGTGGAAGGACCGCTTTAGCTTCGTAAATTATTTTTTAAGAAACACGTTTCGCGCGAACTTTATTTATTATTAATGATGTTTCAATACTAGATATGCATGTTCTTAACGAATTTTATTATTAGATGTTATTGTGCTTGTACAAACCGTTGTGTGCGTCAACTTCCATGGATTAAGGTCAGTATTCACCTATAATGTGAAAATCACTTTCAATCTCGAATTCGTTAAGCTTGTTAACTGTGATTCGATTTCAGTTATAAGTTATATACAATAGGCCAGTTCTTCTGGAAATTCAGAATACTTTCCAATTACTAACTCTTGCGTAATTGTAAATATATAAATACAGAGTAATCAGTATTTTAGAATAGTGTGTGATTAGGATTTTTAAATTTTTGTATATCTGCCAAAAGACTGTTATTTTATCATTATTATATTATTGTATACCATATATGAATATGATTGTGAATTAGTATTTTAATTGACTTTTTATTTATTAAGCAGTTAATGTATTTATAACTAGTTATTACCTTCTAGCAATATTAGTGAATAGAAGTTGTAGAGATCAAAATGTGTAATACTACGAAAATATTGTTCCATCGGTAGATTAGAATTAGAAATATGATCAACACAAAACATTTCTCATTATTTGATCTGTGTGTCTCAGGGATAGAGATAAAAACATTTTGTGGAAATTATTCCTATAATAATATGGTCATGTGTTCGTATAGTAGTTGTGTTTTCTTATTTAAGATTCAATTATCATATTGTCTACAGTTTTTATAAATTCCTATGCGTGTTATCATTGCATTCAATCGTATTTACTTCCGTCCGCCGTCGGTAGTGAGGTATATCTTATAAAGTGAATCACCTCCAAATGACAAGTTTTCTTGAAGTTTTCAAAACTAAGCCTGTTTAGCCTGTTATGGACGAAAATACTTCTAAACAACGACATTTTCTTCCGTATAGACGTTCAAGAAGCGTAATGATGTCACCTGTATCCCCCAGCACAGAGTAACGCCCAATTTAAATTTATCTAGAGATCCATGGTAATCTTATGATGGATACCAAAAGTCATAAGTAATTGTTATGACTCAGAAGACTAAGAAGACAGAGCAGAGTTAAATGCTAAAATATTATGGAATAATTAAGGGTAAAGGCAATAATACAATATTATGGTAAATGTAAAGGTAAGTGAGGGTAAAAAATCTATTTTAATACCATTTCTACATGATATATACTGGGTGGACTACTTGGACCATAAATCATGCGTATTCCAAAGCTACAGCAAAACAATATAACCTGAAGGTTATTTATAAGTACCTAACCAGACACTAACTAAATTAAATAATAACTTATGTATACAATAAATAACCCTCGAAAGTACTGGTGCTCTTATCAGCATCTTAGAAGCGTTTTCCAGAGCATTTAAAGGCGTTATAGATCAATCAAAAACACGTTTCAGAGCTTTCAAGAACAACTTGCCAACCTTTTAGAGGTTTTTGTACTCATTGAATGGAAAGATAATGTTTCCAAGCATCCTCGTTGCACGGGAAAACGACTTTCCCGCATCGCGGTGTTTTTTAGTTTCCGCTGGAGAGAAGGGGTTATGCGCGTTCTTCGGTTGGTAGTACTTATTGAAGTCAACGAACGTCATGTCATGGTTAACTGTCATCTGCTGTAAAATCAATTAAATCGTTGGTTGAGGGTATTTAGTGCGATTAATCGGAAACAGACGTACACTAAGTTTTACGTAAATATATAAACAAGAACTCATAACGCAATCAAATTATTTTTCAGAATTGGAACTCAAGAAAAAGTAAAATTTATTGTTAAAACGTCTTAAAATGTGACCAGTGATATTCTGCAACTATTCGCATATGCAGTTTAAGAAAGCACATATTAACACACACAAAGCTTCCAAGGATTTTAAATGTAACGAGTGTATTTACGCAACTCAAGATATTCAGTGCAAACGATGCAATGCCGTGACCAGTAGTAGCACTCATTGCAAAGGCAAAATATGTATTAACCAAAGATGTGGAAGTTTTAAATGTGACCAGTGCATTATTAAAAGTGGGTAGTTACAAAATTATGTTACCAACCAAACATATGATTGTGTTACCAACTCATGATTAAAAAAAAGCTAATTTACAAAACTTTATTAATTTTGACCTTTTTTTACGCAATTCGTTACAAAAAATATTGTACCTAACTCTTTCGGAAAGAATTTTCCCGCATTCGCACTAAATGCAGCACTCCCTACGGTCGTGCTGCAAACAAAGTGCTCATGCGGGAAAATTAACTTACCGAACTTGTTAGGTAAATAACTATTCTAGGTTTTGTAAACTTTGTTCAAAGTTTTAGTCTTTTGAAATCTTCCCAGCGTTCTCTAGATTTTTCCGTCGCTTGACAGAGTCTTTCCAGAGCATTGGACGGGATTTAAAAGTATAGTTAAAACCACTCAAAAGTATTTTAGGCGCTTCGCGGAACTTTACGTCGCCTCTACAGAACACCTTCCCAGAGCGTATCGGGAGATATTGCCGACCTTTGAAATCTCCATTCAACGATGTCTAGCCTTCCTTAAAAGGTTACTAGAAACCCAAGGGACTCTAAGCTCTTCCTAGGACTTTTTGGGTTGGGTTGGGGGATTCCAACTAAAAATCCGGAATCGCCCAGCTAATGGTGCTCATCTTGTGTGCCGTGTCCATAATTATCCGTACGTACTTTTTTATCGATTCACATCAAGCGAATCGAATTCAATTGGCGATACAAACTACACAGCGATTCCCTGTATCGAAGCATTTTATTTATTCATACGACACAAATTTCTCCATGAATTGGCGGGTGTTTTCGCATCTTGATTGTAAACAAAAACTGATCGATCACAAAGCATGACTAACACCAATTGGTTTTCGGCATTTCAAGTTCGTCAGAAAATATGCATACTGAGTCGACGTAAATTGAGGCTACCTCAACAGGTGTTTCATTTACTAGATGCTTAAACCCCACTTCGTGCCTGTACAGCAAATTCTATCGGCTTTTCAATTTGAAAAATTTGGTTTGAAGCCCGTGACATTTTGAGACTCAACATGTAAAAATTTACTGTAATATCTGTTCAGAATACTCAATTTAGTTAAAATTGAGCATGCGGCCAATAATAGTTAGTAATAACTCCTGAATTAGATAAGATCGGACACCTACATATTTTATTAAACGAAAAAAACTGACATTCATACACAAACAATATGATATTCTCCTTCCTTATTTTAACACATTTAAAGGAAATTCATGAACTTAAGGAATGGCTTTCAACTTTCAGACTAAGCGATGCAGGAATAACACGTATGATCCCGAAAACCCGAATGTTCTACGATATTTCGTCGCCGAGATCTCGATCGATTTATAAAAGGCGCCCGAAAAGCCGATAGTTAGTGAAACAATAAAGCTGCTTTTTGAGAATCAAAAATGCGATATAAAGCAAATTAGTTTTGACAACACGTAAGGGGAAAAAAGTGACAGAAAATTATATACCTAATTAATACATGTTCGAGCATTAGTTTTCGCAGCTTGAATGAATTATTGAAACCTCTATAGAATCTCCCAGTGACTTCTGAAGCGCCCCAGAAGAATTAGAGAATTTCTAAGGAAATTACTAGATCACCTAAACGATCTATGTTTACAGATTCTCTAAATTTGTTTATTCGCAGGGTTTCTGGAGACTCTCCGGGGTAGATTAGTCTCTGAGTATGCTTAAATGGATAACGGAACAGTCAATGAAAATTGAAGAATAAAACAAAAGCCTTTCAATTTAGCATAAACTTCTTCATTCTGCATAAAATCCAGTTGCTCCCATAAAGGGCCCAATAACTCAAGAACTCGAAAACAATAAAATTTTAACTGAACATTTCTTCGTGCGAACGTTCTAAGCGAGGTTCTAAGAGTAACATCTTGAGTTACCATTAACATTACAGTGGTTGTGTTACGTACATTTTTGGATTTGTTTTATTAAAAAGAAGGTACCGTAAGAATTCTCGATCGCATCATTATTTTTAATGACGTGAGTAGGCATCTTATCAAACTTTCAAAATCTGCGCGTGTTTACAAGTTTGTTTCAATTGTATGCAATTGCATGAAGGCCAAATGAATCATTATCATTTTGAAATGTAACGGCGGTATGATTTAACTACGACTCCCTGTCGGTAATGTATTATTTCGTGATTGTGTGTGTTACGGAGGTGTATCAAAAGAACCAAGTAAGTGGCAGAATTTATAAATTAATTAGTTACAATATTGTAGTATTTTACCAGTTTATTGCATGTATTAATTATTGTATCCTATGACACGCTGCTTTAGCCGCTGTGTAGCACTCCAAAAAAACTGTTGCGGAGAGCGAACGAAATTGGAATATGATTTAAAGTATTTTACAATTTCTTCTATAGAAAACTGATATACAGAAACGCTTGTTACAGAATTTCTTTAGATTTAAGCATACCAACAAAATTTCGCTTTTGTTTGTACTGAGAGATTTAGCCTCGGATTTAGCTAATCTAGCTAGAAAGTCCGATGCAGAGATATTTTAATTACTAGTCAAAAGGCTAGAACACGGCCTCCTATTAATACAATGTAGTACACACTAACAGATTTCGTTGTATTGACTTTTTACATGTCTTGAATGTTCAAAAATTAGTCACGAATTAAATGAAATTACCTTTCGGTTCAAGTTACATAAAAATGCGTAGTACTTTCCTTCGATAAATAGATAAGTAAAATACCTATCGCACTCGCAAACAGAAATAATTTTCTTAAGATAGAATTTTGGGGCGGTTGCTATTAAAAAGTAGATACATATCTGGTCATGCACAAATATTTTGAACATTTCCTGCTGCCGCGAATAAAAATTACCGAAGAAACGTAGGTGCACACTTTGTAATTCATAAAACAGAATTGGTACTAATAACAGAAATGTTGAAATTTATTTTTAAATTTGCGGGTATAGCAAAAGGTTAATAAAACATGGACAAACAGTTTTGTATGTGTCGTAGGCAAATAGTTATTTTAGGAAAATGGCATTTTCCCGCGCAAATGCTATCTGCCTGGGCAAAAGGTTCTTTTTAGTTTTTAAATGCCATTCGACTAGGCAAATCAAATGGTATTTGACCAATCAAATACCATTTGCCTAAGCCGATTTTAGGCAAATGGAAATTTTAATATCAATAAGATCGATCCACTTTTTTAACCAAAAAAAAAGGTTTATTAATGATGGGTACGGAAAATTCGGGGTAAGTTTACCTGCGTAAAAATAAAAACATCTTTCTGGTAACACAAAATTATAATTTAAATAAAAAATTAAGAATGGAATGCTTCACTTACCTGGTCTTGAAACTCACGAAATAACAATACAATAATAGAAAACCACCGATGAAGATACACAACTCGTTCATTCAATATAGGTATTAAAAGTCATTTGCCCAACAACGGATTCGGCAAATGCTATTTTCCTAGGCTGACTTATTTTGATGAAGTCATTTGTCCAGGCAGATAGCATTTGCCCGGGAAAATGCCATTTGCCTGAAATAACTATTTGCCTATGACATATATGCACCTTTTAATTCTGAACAACTTTAAACACTAGTTTTTATCTGTAAAATGTACAGGAGGGCAGGATATTGCATAAAACTAATTTCCCATGTTAAACCACTATGTTCCT